GGCTGCCGCCTCCAAATGTCGGTGCTTTCAGGGTTATGGGCTTGCTGCTGATACCCTTAAGCAAAAGCTCGCAGCGTGTGGTGAGAAGGGGCATGGGTGCGTGCTGGTCTCCATATTCCAGTGCAGATTCGTGCCACCGTAGCAGATAAAAAATCCTGCTGTAACAAAATACTCATGGATGACCAGGTTTGTTCCTCTCGTGGGGTTTTACCTGGTGACAGACCAAGTTCCAGGCATAAGGACTCTCCAGAATTTGGCTCTGAGGTAATGTGTAGAGAATTTTCTTGCCTGAAGAGTTGATCTTAGCTCTGTGGCTGTGGGTAGCTGCCATGCAAGAATCAGGTAGGGAGCTGTGCTGGGGTGGGGGAAGTTGCCCACAGCCATGCTGCTCTGGCTCAGACCTGGACTGCCCTGGCTGCTTCGCACTCCAGCACGCTGCTGGGCTCCGGGCGGGGACGGGTACTGGGGTTGGACCGCGAGGTGCGGTCGGGCCGCGCAGCATCATCTTGCTGAGTGAAATCCTCTGCCGAAGCCTCCTCTGGACTTACTTTTGTGTGTGGTGAGCCCTGGTGTAACAGTTGGACCCTCTCCCTTTGCACAACTGCGGCGTTTCCAGCCGCCTGAGTGACAGCCCAGTGGCTGCGGTCCCTGAGCAGAACGCGAGCCTGCGTCCCCAGATGGCTGGGCAGCGTCCTTCAGCAGCAAACGATGCATCATTGGCTGTGTCAGGTGGAATTAGCAGGCAGGCTCGTCACATTAAGCTCAGGCTCTGAGCTGGCAGTCCCTGTGCTCCGGTCTCACTCGAGCTGGCTGTCACACTGCCGTCCCCACCTCTGCAGCCATGGGAAATCGCTTCGGGCAGCGCGCAGATAATGCGCACAGTAATGAAGTAGCTGGAGGGAACAGCTTACTGGCAGGCGGGAGCACAGACTGACACCTTTCTCGTGTATTAAGTTGCCTTAGGAGCGTTAAGGCTGACGTGATTACTTACACCGCTCCCTGCATACACCGCTCTTACTGCATCTCTCCGTCCCCCGACGTTTGCGTGAGTTAGGCGTATTGATGTGAAGGCAAACGCACGTAGCTCTGTTTCTGCTCCCTCCGTCTGTCCCTGCCCTGTGCGTTCCCCTTCCCTGTCTCTTCTCCTCTCTTACTGCTGTTGCTTCACTGTGAAGGAAATGCAGAAAAGTTAAAAGAAAAATCCGTGCTGACCTGAGTCTCTCAAGAAATACATTTCTGTTAGAAATGCTCTGGGAATCTCAGATTCCAGTTAACAGTGACAAAAAAAGGCAGAAGTGGTTGTTTTGTTCAAAGAAGGAATGGTTGCTGCGGCAAAGATCTGAGCCTGGCTTATCAGGCTCTCGCTGCCTGACTGCAATCTTACCCCAACTTCTGCCTCTTCGGAAAACAAAAGGCTTTTGTGTCCGTTTGTCTTTCTGTTCGCACACTCGGAAAGGCGTTAGGTTTCCTTGCGGAGAGCATGGAGGGTGGGCCGGAGCGCGTTCCCCGTGCTGGGTGCTGGTGTGGGCCGGGGGGCAGCTGGGCCCTCTGCCTGGGCGCTGACCCTCTGCTTCCCTCCCGCAGGTACCCGTGCTCCGGCCCATGGACCTGATGGTGGAGGCCACCCCCCGCCGGGTGTTCGCCAACGCTCATACCTACCACATCAACTCCATCTCCGTCAACAGCGACTACGAGACCTACATGTCGGCAGACGACCTGAGGATAAACCTGTGGAACTTTGAAATCACAAATCAGAGTTTCAGTATCCTTGGGTGCGCACGGCCCCGGGAGGGTCCCAGGCAGCGGGAACACGGAGGTGCCTCGGCTGGCGAGAGGGGAGCCCGGACATGTGCAGATGTCGGGGGGAGGATGAGGAAGCCGGACGGGGGGACGGGTCCCCAGTGGAGGTGGGCAGCAGAGGGGGGAACCTATGGGGTCCGGCTCTGTGGGAGGCGGCGGAGCTGTGGCCGTGTCCGCCGCGGGGGGGTGTGGA